GGCATGTGTAATAACATCTTAATCGATGTAGTTACACAATCTCATCAATTAACTTACTCACCTTACCTCTACGTCTAATCTGAATGTTACTCACTCTAATTATATATATTATGCTATTTAATACCGGAAATAGGATGCAAACATTTGCAGACACATACAGCTTGTCTTTTCACATGATTCTGCTACTTTCAATTTCTATATATCTCATAGTCACCAAGAGGGGACAGAGTGAACTGCTGATCCATATAGTAGACACACAGTTCACAGTAGATCTTCGTACAAATTCTCTGCCAATCAGATGACTTATATAATAATATTTCTGAAATAACCATCATATAGATAAATTGAAATTATCCTAACGCTTTCCAACTAAAGATCAGTGTTTTTCAAGTATTGGTTTTTTTTTAGGGATTTTGTGTTTGATTGCATGGAGGATTTCATCATGAGCTGACATCAGTTAGAGAACCACTGGGAGTACTGAACAACTGTTTCGTCGTAGTTTGAGGCTTTTCAGCAGTACACACCCACCGAGTTGGAACCTAGGAGGTCCTGTGTTCAAACCCCCTGTGGGGTAGGTGCATACTGATGAAAAGCTCCAAACTAGGACGAAACAGTTGTCCAGTACTCCCAGTGGTTCTCTAACTGATGTCAGCTCATGATGAAATCCTCCATGCAATTATTAAAGATCAGTGTGTACTGAAAAAAAACAAACTGATTCTCTTCAACAGTTCTGACATCAAAACATTAACATACTCTAGAATTTCGTCTTGAAAAAATACCAATCATTCATTCAAAGATGTGACGAAATGTATATGTGGACAACACATCACACACATACATACATACACACACTTCATCGTAAGATAAGCAATATCGACAGCAAAATTGTTTACTCTTGCAGTCATTATCATCTAAACAACAGCGATTTATTTATTTATCAGTGGAAATAATCCCAAGGTGAGGGAAAAAACAACAGGTCTCCTCAATTTCCCAACGCCATACAGTTACACACACACACATTTCCCATATATATAACCATTATTTTCCAGTAAGGCACACAGGATCAATCAATTTTCAGTAATAAACCAAACAGAGGGGAAAAAAGCAAGAGAGAATCACGAAAATAATAAACAAACAAACAAACATAGTTCACAAAAAGGTAAGCAAACTGTCTGGAATAAATAAAATAGACCAGTAAGGTCTATCCATATGTCATGTGTGAAGATGGATGTCCCACCGACGCAATGGTTGGGGTGGCAATAAAATCACGAATTGGTAGAAGTTAGAATTCATGGACTGGCCATTATTCAATCGGGTCCAGTGGCTGAATGGTATACGAACTTGCTTGCTTGCTTGTAACAGGAAGGTCTTGGTTTCGAACCCCCCTCCGCCCCCGACCAACCAACCAACCTGTGGAGTGGGTGCGCATTGTTGATGAGTCTCGAAATAGGCTGACGAAGCAACTAGCTGTCTAGTACTCCTTGTGGCTGGTTTTAAACGGTTCATTAACTGATATCAATCCCCATGGTCTAACCCTAAAACACCATTTAACACCTTTTTCGCTAAAGAATTTTCTAACATTTTTTCATATTAGGGTAGTTAATTCAATTACCACTGACTGAAATTAATATACTAATCATGTGGTGTGTGTGTGTGCTTTTAAAAAAAATTCTTTTTTTGTCAAATAAGCACTATTATTATTATTATTATTATTATTATCGTTATGACGATGCCGGTTATACACGCTATTTTTTTTAACTTGTACAGTCAGTCATGTGTTGTATTTGATGGTGATTTTCTGTGTTAGCTAGTGAATAATAATAATAATATACTTGTCAATCAAATACGCTTACCTCATCATATGCCTATTTCTTTGCCATGTAATATTCTCTCTACCCTCAATTGCATACATATACACAATTCCATCTCCCACTGTTTATCGATAATCTCTAATGATGGTTGGTGGTTAAATTTTCTTCTATAATATAAGTATGTGTATTTTTTGGCGAACCATACATATACGCGGGACTTTACAATCTGATAATTTTAAAGAGTCAAATTTATCTCCTTACTTAGTGCATTTAAGGCCATGAAGCTTCATTAGATTAGCTGTCGTCACTATGCTTTCTTTTTTTTTTAAACTTTACTTCGACTATCTTCTACGGGAGGATGAGCCGGCTTCATGAACCATGAAGTTTCATGGGAATTAGGTACGAGTGATGTCCCCAGAATCGCTCGGCCTTTTGTTTGAGAGTCCAGCTCTAGCCATTACACAACCAAGTGTGACCTACAAGGCAGTAGAGTGGAGTAGGGAGTCCACTATCCATTGGCAGCCGGTGACCGGAGTCCGGTTCATACGTCTTTTTCAATGGGGCCAGACATCCAGGTTGCATCCAATAAGCCCTTTGTCCACACGTCTGCCGTTGAGCTCCGGTGAGCTTCACACGCCAGTCGTTGGAGGTTTGAATCAGGGTTTAGCCATCTCTCCTAGACTGTCATCCAATGGACAGTCAACCCGATGAAGAGCGCCGGGCATACGCTTTTGCCCTCTCACTTTGGTGAAAAAAACACCTCCGCCACGTGAAGGTAGTGAGGAGGACTTTCTCAGGAGAGGCTATGTAAGACACCCGATCATATGGTAGCATTGTCAAGAGGTGTACGGAGGGGTGGTCAACCCGCAGTGCAAGGCACCCCACTCCCGACCATCCTAAGGCTTTGGAGGCCGTCACTATGCCCTGCTGCAACAATTGAATATCTATCTTCTGAGGAGTGATTACGGCTAAATTTGCTTTTTATCATCAAGAATAGACATCATTTTAGATTTGTAGTCACTTTGTATTCATAATGACGACTGCAGAACCTTTATCAGATTTTGTAATAATTATAATATTAGAATTTTCCCGTAGCTCTTTGAAATGCTGGGAATTTAAAATACTTTTCTCCTTTGGGTTGTTGTTGTTTAAAAACTGGTGAGCTATATCCACCATCTTGGCCTTAAATGCACTAAGTAAGGAGATAAATACGACTCTTTAAAACCATCAGAATGTAAATTCCCACATATGTATGGGTGACCAAAAACACATAAACCCAATAATCCTCTACGTCGTCCTATATTGTCAATAAGTATATGTATGTGTGTGTGTGTGTGTAACAGTTGTTGAAGGTCAGATTCACAATTCTTCCTCCCTTGCATTTCGAGTGGAAGATAGGGCTTCAACAACACATCTCCACTTTGTTCTGTTTTCTGCTGTCCTCTTCAGCCAGATAGCTCCACGATTGACCAAACTCTCTCATCTCCTCTTCCTTGCCACACGATCTCCTTCGTGTCACCCTCGTATCGATGACCCACTCGTCACTTCCCATTTGGGTTCATGGCGTGCGATGTTATTCGGCGGTCTCCTCCTCAGTGTAGTATGTCCAACCTATCCATCTCCACTTTCTCCTACATATACTTCTTGAGCGATCGGCTCTCCGCCTATTTACACAGTCCGATTTAATGGTGAAATTTCATTGTAGGAGAGTTCCCCTTTTAAAAATCAATTTATGTTCAAAATAACCACAATACATGTGTGTGTGTGTGTGTGTGATCAGTCTGCTTGATACCACCATGAATGGTAATCAAATAAAGCTAGGGAGGTTATATACTACTGATTAATTGAGGTGAGTAGTTGTATACGCAGTCATAGCAACCACAGTAGTGGTGCGTGCTAACCAGCCAGCCAACCAGATTGAGATGATCTCTAAAACACTGGACGACAGCCTTTTCACTGCTGGTGTTGTTATACGTAGTGCTATGCAATTACGCATCTCAATTAATTAGTAGCATATCGTTGTTGAAGATGACTATTTTTCCCTTTCATTTCTTTGTATTTTGAGTGGAATATAAGGGCGGGTGTACTGCTCACCAGTCCTCTCCCTCCTCCTTTATGGCTGTGAGTGAAACCTGGTCATTGAGAGTGGAAGACATGAAAAGGCTGACTAGCTGTCTTTGATCATAGGTGTCCGCGCTCAATCTCCCGTGTGAAGTGGTATAATAAGGTAAGGAATATTGAGGTTAGGCTTCGGTCGAGTACTAGGTAAAGAGGGTGGGGAAATCGATCGACGAGGCTGTGAAGCAGCTGCATCGTTTGAGGTGGTTAGGACATGTATTACGCACACTTAGTTATCGATCGCCTCCTCGACAGGGAATGTTAGCTGACCGATATAAGATTGATTAGGTTGGAAAAGAGCTAGTACGTGGTGGCTAAACCAAAATATGGCTTCATCAGTCAATGAAATCCACAACAGTTAGTTTAAGCCAACTACGTAGGAAGGTGTAGACTTCCTGACTGGTTGGGGTCCTCGGGATGGTAAACATCAATGAAGGCTGGAGACAATTGGTGATATGACTCAAAATAGTTTTCAACGGGTAGTGCAGATGCATCATCCACTCCTTGTGACTTATGATTTCCAATGAAACTATATCGTCCTTCGAAATTACTATTCCTTTTTGTCTCATATCTCTGTTTACTGTCTCTCTTTTGCATTTCTTTTTACTTTCTTCTCTTGCTTTGTGTGCTACATGGGGTGTGGAGACTGGAACTGCTGCACATCGGTGCAAAGCTGTATCTTAAAATCAGATAGACAGACAGACAGGCAGACAGACATTCATGGACCATTGGATCTTAGCCCAATTGGTTGAGAATGGTCAACGAGTTTGGCTTGGTAACCTGGAGGTCGTCCTAGGTCTGATCACCGGTGGCGTTGATTGTGGTGGTGGTTGAGTATCGCTTACAAGAGTAATTCCATACTGGAACGAAGCAGCTATCTAGCACTAACCCTCTCCTACTTTGATTTCTAGTTGTTTTCTAACTGTGTGATAAGCGCCATGCATGCTACTTCCAAACTGTCTACATGTTTTAACTCAGCCCCCTGTAGTTTTAGGCATAAATTTTAAAACTCCTACACCTAATATACTTGTTTATTATTATTATAAATTATTGATTTTGTTTCATTTGTAGATCAGCCTACTATCTGGCCTCAGGATACCATATCTGCCAAGATGCGTACACATTCTGGTCAATCACCATGTGAGACAGCAGACTTAATTGGCACACCGAAATCTGAAGGCAGTAACACTGACTGTTCTACTACTACACCTTCTGTGGCATTCACCAATTCTAATCAAGATGTCCCTCCAGGATCACAGAATAATAGTGCAGGTGTCGCTACACCTACTCCTACTACTATACCATCACTACTGCATAGTCTGTCTTCTCCGGCTTCCTGTACCACTACTACTGGAAGACATCACAGCGGTGTATCTGGAGGTGGTAATAATCTATTGAACAACAATACTACCACCACCATCAGCAGTAGTATTGAAAATGATCAAGTTTTCTCCGCACAATCACAAATTTGTGATCCAATAGTGGTTAGTGAATCCACTACAATCATTAGTACAACAACTACTGTTCCCATGAACAATACTCATAGTGATATGAGTAATAATTTCCCAGTTACTCCTACAGCTACTGCTGCACCTACGCCTACAACTGGTGTTTCTGTTGTTCCCGGTCAACTTCCACCATCATCTCCAATCACCACCACCACCACTGCTTCTTCACTACCTGGTGTTGCAGTTGTCAGTGAACCGTCATCTATCTCATGGAATTCACCAGGTTATAACAACAATTGTAATTCAAATATGGCGTCATCCTCTCCATCGTTACAACAACGTAAGTAAAAGATCATTGTTATTACTATTATTATAACTGCTTTTAGTTATACAGCTTTCCATAGCTCATTCTATTCATATTCGTGTTCCCTGTGGTTATTATGATTATGATTATTTCTTTGTGTTCTGAGTTCATCCTGTTCTTTGAGATCTCTACCGCCTACTCCTCCTCCTCTTCACACGCTCTTCTGCATTTGTGTGTGTGTCTCAAGTTTTCGAATTATGCCCAACTTGTCGTTTTGTTTCAATTTTTCGTTCCATTCAAGAGATTCCCCGACGTGTTCTCCTCAGCGTAATATCTAATCCATGTCTATCGATTTTGTCACTGCAAATGTTTGAGCGGTTCGTTTATGATTTGCTTCATCGTTAGAGTTCCTTGCCAGCGGTGATATCTATCTGGCTGTCTTATATAGTATACGTTACAATTTTATGCACCAGTGGTTGAATGGTAGAATACTTGTGTTGTCAGTCAGACACACGATGTCAATGTCCATGGTCAATTACCAGCCACTCCTAAACCCCCTCTCTTAGATATCAGTTAGTCTGGAAAATCAGGCAATTTGGTGAACGTCAGAATAGAGTAACGCCACAACCTTTACTCAAAGAAACATCAAGTCTGTAGTTCGAAGGCATTACCTTTCATTCTGAACTCAGGGAATGAACAAGACAAAGATTTTTTTTAGTAATTCTGATGTTGTATATATTCAAACCTATCCTTATTCTTGCTTTCATCGAAAGAAGACACATTGACTGGTTGACTGGCAGGCTGACTTCCCGAAGGCTTTCACCAGCCTTCTGTAACAACAGAAGACAAGGGCCGGCAACAGATCGTTTTTATTACGGAAATCGGCACGTATTTATATATATTTCATGTAGATTATTACAGTTTATTCTAGCAGACAAACAGTCTTCTGATTGGTTGTTTCGGGTTTCTCGGAAAGTTGGGCCATCTATCTGCGAATCCTATTTGCCCACGTTAAGTCTGCTGTGATTGGTTGTTGAATCAGCCTTGTCCATATTTTCTCACGGCCAATACTAGTGACCTAGATACTGACGTAGATTGATGTCTACCGATTGGCTAGCAACTTGCTCTCACCACACTCGTTCCCCCGTCAAATAACTTCGTGCGCAGATGTTCCGACCTTCTGGGTGCTATACCCTCTAGTTGAGGATTGTTACTGACCGGCTTGTCCCACTGTACCCAGCGTTAACTCGTTTCTGTTTGTTACCTCTTCGGATGGTATATACTTGACTTCGTCTTTTGGTGATTGTGTATGATCCTTCCCACTTTGGAAGGAGTTTTCGTGAATCTGGCCCTCATCCAACTGTATATCTTCTGTCTCTACACTTCACTTGGTCCCCGACCGCAAAGGTAATGCACTGAGTCTTTCCTTTCAGCTGAGACTTCGCAACATCACTCCGCTGCTTTTGCATTACATTCTTGACTGCTTCTTTTCGCTCTGCTTTTAATTTCATCGTACTCCATTTTTAGTGAAGGGGCCAGGTCTCGTTGTGTATCGGTAATCGTGGTTTTCTACCATACATCAGTTGAAAGGGTGACTTCTTCGTTGTTTCTTGAGTGGTAGCACGATGTGTTAGTAAGATCAGTGGAAGCTCCGTTTCCCAGTTCCCGCTCTTCGACGCCAGCCACTCCTTCAGTGTACGGTTGTTTCTTTCCGTTGGGCCATTCGTTTGTGGATGATATGGGGTCGTTCTGATTCTCTTAATGCCCAGCTGTTGCAAACGGGAAGTAAATTCTTCACTCTCGAAACAGGGACCTTGGTCTGTCAGTATTGTCTTCGGTACGCCGTGGTCTGCAACGATGTGTCTAACTACTGTATCTGTCACGGTCCTTCACGTTGGTCTGGGATTGCTACGGCGTCTATCTATCGTGTCGCGTGTCCCGTCATCACCAAGAGGTACTGATTACTATTGGATGTCTGAGGAAATGGATCCATGACATCTACGGACCACAAGTCACCTATCGCCATAACTGGAATCGACTGAAGTGGTGGTCGTATGCACCGGTCGCCTTTCATTAGCTGGCACCGCGGATATCCAAGTGCGTATCTTGCTACGTCTTCTCTCATTCCTGGCCTCTCCGATCCCAGGAAGAAATAAGTTATTTTTTTAAAAACATTTTTTAGAAATATTTTTTGTTGTGCGATAAAGTTCTGTAACAGTTTGATTGATTTTCGGGGGGGGGGGGTAGGGACGTTAGCCTCACACCCAACCCAAACCGGTTAAGAAAACAAACTAGCGAGCTAGGCGGAGTTTGTATATTCATTCATACATCTATAAATAAATGTTTTCTTAACCTCAGTATATATATATATATATATATATATATATATGCATACATTCATTTGGCCTTAAAGTTCATCGTCTTTTTACGATAAGTAAATATGAGGACGCAATAAATATGTATAAATCTATTAAATAATTTATTGATTCATTGAGAATTCACTTTGGAATTAGTTAATAACGAAGAATTCGGTGATATATCTGGTATACCCATAGAGAAGTGCAACAAATATGTATTAGTGATAACAATAATAATAGAGCTTTGGTGGTACAGCAGTTAGGACTTTCGTCAACCATGCGCACATGGTCCGGGGTTTTATCCCGGCCCCCCCCTCCCGACGCACATCTGATATCAATGGTCGGCCTGCAAATTTAGGCTACCGATATCACATGCTGCCGACGCCCTCAAAATTGTCTGAATGCATCTTATGTGTAGGCAGGCATGGGATATATGTATTTATTCATTTTTCTGTCTGATTCACACTATATGTTTGTGTGTGTGTGTTTATTACTGAAAATTGATTTATACTAGTTGTGTTTCTCAGAGGTACCGGTTGATTTAAAACTGCGAAGCTTTCGTTGTCCTCGCCCCCTCTTCTAGACAATATCTCTTCAGCCAGAGCTGGTTTTTTGAGTATGAAATGAATTTATTTGAATTCTCTCTCTCTCTCTCTCTCTCCATGAATGATGATGTTGTAATTGTTTCTCCTGATGATCAGGGTGTAGCCATGTGGCTGTAGGCGTTTGCTTAAGTCAAGGTTGCCACCCAATAAGGGTGTCATCCTGTTGCAACCTCACAAGCTACGGAAATAGGTATCCACGTACATTATGTGCGTCAGTGTTGGCACACTGGTTAGGAGGCTCGCCATGGTCCAGAGTTCGATCCCCGGCCGACGCGCATACCTGTTAAATTTGGGCTGTCGTTATCACACACTGAAAATTTCATAATTTAAAAAAATTAAATTAAATCAATTTACATCTTTATTGATCATTTTTATTGACTTGAAATTTGAACCCTCTCTCTCTCTGGTCATGTGATTCATTTTTTTTTTAATTATTAGTTGTTGGTAAATTTGGTGTATATAAGTAATGCGTGTGTATTTTTAATCACCTATTCGTTGTCTCAGTAGTACCAGGCTTCTAGAAATTCCCTGACTGCATTTTTTGGTGTTTCCTCTGTTTAAAACGTGTACATTTACCCAGTCGAATTCGTGTCCTTCAATTGCGTACCTGCATAGATATGAAAGAATATACATGTATATCGTGTCTTTTGACAGTTCATTTTATGATCTTGGATTCTGAGTCGAAAGGGGTCCCAGTGGCTGAATGGTCTACGAGGCCGCCGTGTGACCTGAAGGTGGTGGGCGCGAATTGTCAATGGGTCCCAAACTAGAACAATAGAAACAGCTGTCCAGTACCCCCCCCCCTACACGTTTTTCAATGATTCTTTAATTTAATGTCATCTATAGATCAAACCCTTTTTTGAATTGTTTTCACAATGCACAAATGTGTTAGTAAACTCCTGCCTTCTGATTAGTGACTAGTAGTACTGGAATCCAGGATCTGTGTGTGTGTGTGTGTTTCGTCCTCTTTTCGACGACTTGTCACACAGATGATGTTTTCAGTGCTATTTGAAATTATAGTACCCATCATCACTTTAAATGCCTTACTGTTGTCGACTTTGCCACTATATTTACACTGCGGCTGATGAGTCTTATATAGGACGAAAAGACATTTTCTGGTTTCTACTATTAGTTAGCTGGACATCACCAGACAATTGTATTTGCGTTATTGGTTAATCCTGATAGCACTGAAGCATCACTTTAGATCTGTCAATGGCAATTGTGTGTGTTCATTTGGGATTATCTTTGGTAGATTGTCGAAAGAATGATGGATATCATATATATATATATATATATATATATATATATATATATATATATATATATATATATATATATATACAGTATATTCTATAAATTTAGGAGCAGTACGTTTAGTTTTAGTCTATTTTTGCTCTATTTCTTCATTCAATATAATTGATGACAATATTCTAAGCTTTCTCTACTTCTAACTAGTGTCTGACTGTGTTCTGTGGATTTATGAATGCTTTTTCGTGTAGGGTGGGGTGGGGTGGGGGTTGTGTACCTTGTGTACCGTAGAGTGTTGGGCAAAGAGGGAAAATCAGTCGACGAGGCTATAAAGTTACATAGACTAAGATGGCTAGGTCACGTACTGCGCATGCCTGACCACCGCCTCCCCCGACGGGCATTGCTAACTGATATAGGTGCAGGTTGGAAAAGAGCCAGTGGTGGCCAAACAAAAACATGGCCTCATCAATCCATGAAATCCTTGACAGTTAAACTGAGTCGGTCAGGTAGGGAGATGCAGACTTCCGGGTTGGGGCCCTCGGGACTGACTCTAGGAATCAATGGCTGGAGACAATAGGTGACATGGCTCAAAGTGATCGTTGTCAATGGCCAGCGAAGATGTATTCAGTCTCTGTAATCTTTCATATTCCTTTCTACCATTACCCATTCTGTTTCACTCTTATACTTGTCAGACTGTATTGATTCTCTTCACTCATCTTCTTGTCTACCTCTGTGTGGTATTTGGAACGTGGCAACTCGAACTGGTACACTTCGGTGGCAAGTTCTATGTTGAATCCAGATAGATAGGCAGACAGACAAGTTTGCA